ATTTTGAACTTCTGTAACTCAGAATTATTTCAATATAATGCAATAATTTCGAAGTCTTAGGGAAATGAGAACTTTTGATCAGTCTGACCAAAGACACCTCATTACAAAGTTTTAGCCAATTTTACTGAAACTACTTTAATGTAAGGAAAATGCATACAAAAGTAGGATTGCACCAAAATGAAAGTGAAGTGCTTGTGAAAGGTAATAGTTTTAATTTTAAGTACCTAGGATCAGAATTACAGAGTAATGGGAAAATATATGGAGATGGATGGATAAAGTGGAAGCAAGCGAGTTGTGTGTTGTATTTGTTACCTAAACCATAAAACTGTCACAATAACAGCTATGATGTACAATACTCAATGTTGGGTATTTAAAAAGAGCAATGATTATTGCAGAAATGAGATGTAGATAGATTGGGGTGACAAAAAGGATAAAAGTAAGTCACAATGGATATGGTATTGAAAATCTATGGGTGTTGACAAAATGAGAGAGCATAGTTTAACACGTTGATGGACAGAGACGCTGTGCAGCGTCTTTTTTTAAAATTGTGTTGTGACAGAACGCTGTGAAGCGTCCTTAACAAAATTTAATATCGTGGCAGAACGCTGTACCGCGTTATATTTATAATATAAATATATGGTAACACGTAATCCACTGTCGTAGAATACCTATCTATACCTTCCAATCTGTTACCCATCTGGTAAATTATCGTAATATATTATGGTAATAATATCGACAAAAAGGACACTGTACAAATTGACTATTTTTAAATAACTTAGGTGTCCGTCAAGGTGTTAAGATGGTTATGCCATATTTAACCGCAAAATGATAATCATCCAATATGAAGAATCATTGAACTGCAAGTTAGTTGAACCAGTAGAGGAAGACGTGGTGGGAGATCCTAAGGTAGAATATGCCTGTGAAGTGTATTACTACTGTAATAAACTTATATGGAGAAATGTAATTATGAAAGCCAACTCTACATAGAGATAGAAACAAAGAAAATAATGAGCAAGATGGAAATGAACAAACAAAAACACACTTAAAGTAAACAAAATATTATGATACACATTTTGAAAGGTAGATGGAAATTACCTATAATTAATTTGCTATACATTAAAAATAAATTTTAAGGAGCAAATATCCAATACGAAATATTAGGTCTATATAAAAACCTATGAACAGATTTAAGAATAGAAGGATGGAACATAAAAAAGTATTATAACAGAGACATTTGATAGTTACATATGAATTATCAACAAATAATAAAATTGATTTTACAGAATTTCCAAGAATAGTGAAAAGAACTAAAGATGCCATAAAATGAAAGTTAATAGAACCAAACCCTAATTAGACAATATTAAAAGGGAAGTAATTGCAATTATTAAAGTCATACAACTATCTATTTTGATATACCAGTAAAATTAACACATGTACATATGAGATATTAAATTCTGCTTGATTATATTCACGAGGTAGGAGAGGAAATGGGCATTAAAATAAACTCAAACAAAACCAAATTTTTGGTGTTTATTTGTGACCCGCATCCCAATGTAAAGCTTCAATTGAACGGAGTCCAAGTTGAGAGAGTTCACAAAAGGACATATTTGGGAACTGTGATAACAGACCAACTAGATCCAGACATAGAAATAAGATGTAGAATAGCAATGACTAAAACTACTTTTATGAAAATTAAGTCATTTCTTTGCAATAACCATCTCAGTTTAGAACTAAGGCAAAAATGGTTAAGTGCTATGTTTGGTCTGTACTTTTGTATAGTGCAGAAGTGTGGACGCTAAAAGTATCGATCATGAACAAAATTAGAGCATTGGAAATGTGGATTCATAGACGAATGCTGAAAATACCTTGGACAGCCAGAAAAACTAATGAAGAAGTACTAAGGAGCATCAACAAAGACAGAGAACTGCTAAAGACTGTTAAACATTGAAAAATGTCTTATCTGAGACACATAGTAAGGGGAAGTCGATATAAAATTTTACAACTGATCCTTAAAGGCAAAATAGAGGGCCATAGAGGTGTAGGAAGAAAACAAGTTTCTTGGTTAAAAAACATTCGTGAATGGACTCAGATACCAAATGCAGGACAATTATTCCATATTGCAGAAGATCGAGAAGCCTTCTCAATGGTGATCACCAACATCGGATAAGTCTGATAGCACGAGAAGAAGAAGACATATGAGACGCTAGAAAATATGTTGTAAAATATATTGAGATGATTAATCTCAATTGAAACTTTTCGTTGCAACAAAAGTAGTTTAGCCCTGAAAATTTTTTCAATATTGAACATTTATGCAAAATTTAAATCTTTAGTCCCAAAACAAATCTTGTCTTATATCATTTACAATATGGTATATCTTTTACAAGAAAATAATATCCACAAATGTGACAAATCTTTACACCAAAATATTTCCACTTTCACATCAGTCATTAAAAACATAATGATCTTGATAACTGATGTGAAAACAAAAATTTTGATTTTGAGCAATTACAAATATTAAAAACTGAAATGTCCAATACAGTGGTACACACACGCATGTATGTTACATACAAGCATGTGTGTACCACTGAAAAAAATATATTTTTTCCAAGTTAATTGCACTCACAAAGCCAAAAGACCAGTCTGAAAAATAAGATATATGAATAACACATACTGTCATATATGTAATATACCTGAAAATTATATGTACCCATAGCAAAAATGTTTGAAAAAAAGATATTTGAAGGTTACCTAAAAAAATTAAAAGCAATATTTTTATGGTCAATAACATCTAGTATATTAAAGTCTAGTTTGATATCCTTCAAATATCTGCTATCAATTGGAAGAAAGGGGATATCAAACTAAAAATTAACACATCATTAAGCAACAACGTTTATTTCATACATTGTCTTAAAATATAAAAAATTACAATTTACTTCTGACCGCTATGTGTGCTGGATTTACTATCACGCATACTGGCAGACCTACGCCTCTTTAACAACTCACGACGAGCCTTGGATTCCTTCTTGCGTTGAGCCAATAGTTTAGCATATGCATCTTCTTGTTCTTTACGTTTAAGACACCTCTTCTTCTTCAAAGCCAGACGATGGCGTTTTCTTTGCAAAACAACAGGTGTAATAAGACGTTGGATCTTGGGGGCCTTGGTTCTCAACTTCTTACCTTCTTTTTGGGGTAAAGGTCTCTTTACTACATACTGACGTACATCATCTTCTTTGCCAAGATTGAAGAGCTTACGGATTCTGGATGCTCTCTTGGGTCCCAGGCGACGTGGGATGGTAGTGTCAGTAAGTCCGGGAATTTCTTGTTCTCCTTTTCTTACAATGACCAGGGCCAAAACGCTAAGATTTCCATCAACAATGCACCCACGCACTGATTTCCTTTTACGTTCACCGGTACGTCTGGGTCTGTAGCAGGAGTGACCTTTTGAAAGTAAAAGTCTGACCCTACCGTTTGTAAGAACACCCTGTTTCATAGGGAATCCTTGTTTATCGTTACCACCAGATATTTTTAATATGTAGCCTTTCCATTCATCTCCAAGAGCATCGGCCTCAACTTCTTGACCCATGCGTTTTTCGTAAAAGATACGAATTTTGTGTTCGTCAACAACTTCGAAAAGTTTCTGGCATCCCGTGGCCGGGTATGAAACGTTCAACTTCATATTGATTTATTTTGCACTCAAAAACTACTATTTCAAACTTTACTTTTGGCAAATTACACTAAATACGGGAAAAACTTCTCGTTAGTGTGCACATGGAACTGCCATGTTTCAAAAAGGATATTTCAGAAAATGTCATTATCGACTTGGAAGGAAGTCAGTCTGAAGCGCCACCTATAAATATATATAGAATACTGATATGTCCCGAATATTTTATTAGAACATTTAAAAATTAGTATTAATTGCAAGAATATAGATATTCATATAAACAAAAATAAATAGTTCAAATTATTTCTTAACGTAATATTTATTTTAAATAGTATAAATCTATCTGAAAATTGAATTTTAATCTGTGGTGACGTCATAACTTATAATTTAAAATTTCTTGTTGAGCCAATTAACATTTTTTCAATTGATATTCATTACATTATAATAGAAAAGTTCTTTATTAATATGCCATAATTATATGTGTAACATACTTCACATAACATGTAGGCTGAATTAAATGTTTAAAAGAATATAAAATCAATGAGGAGATTTAAGTAGCATAACTTAATTTATGATATAACACTGTTCATCACAATTGGTTACAGTACCATCGAAGAATATAGACTCATACATGTGTCTATATTCTTTGGTATTGTGTAGTTTTGACACAGGGCTTCAGAAAACAAGATTAGAAATTTTGTAATGAAAAGTTTACACTGGTATACGCATCTTGCTAAAATTTTGCTCTAGATATAAATAAAAATCTGATTTCATACCATATATCTATAGTAATGAAAATCTGTTTTCATACCATATTTTATACCTAGGAAGGCTTTTCTACGTTTGCTCGCATTCTTAATATCAGCGGAATATATATTTAATTATTTAAATCTGTTCCTTTGTCACATTTCAAATTTTTCTCAATTATGGTTTTCGGAACAACGCACAAATGGTAAAAACTTCCAAGGAAGCTCTACTTGCATAAACATCAAATCGTTAACCAAATAATTTGTTTGGACGTGTGTGGATTTTTTCCAAGAAGGTATTTTATAATTCAACTAATATGCATGTGTAAAAACACCCATAAAGCTTTAATCCCAAATAATTTTTAAATTCGAAAAGTTTTTTTTATTGATTCGTAAATAAGGAATCTTAAACGTGCGCAGCTCTATTAAAATATTATTCCTTGTAATTTTCACCAATATATAATTGATTTTTAGCAAATTTTACAGTAATTTTTGTCTCCGTATTTAATGATGATCTATCTCATGTTTTTCCAATTTTTATAAGTGGTAGAAGAGTCCGAATGGTATGTTGCTGTCACTTGTCCTTTTCATTTTCCGGTTTGATTTGTATGAACTTGACAGCTATCAACAATTTTTTAAAATTCTTAACCTTACATTTTTCTTCAAAATATATAAAAAAAAGTAAATGAATCTGAACTGAAATTTGAACAATGGTTCGTCACAAAAATAGGTAAAAACTATGTATAATCTACTGCCTATTATAAACATTTTTTTTCTAGGTATATAGTTATTGAAATTAATGAAAATGAAGCAGGACCTTCCTCATATTTAAAACTAAAAGAACCATCTCTCTATGCATGTATTCTAAAACAAGTTCAAAAATTACATGGTGACTTTGGCGAAGCTGCTATAAGAGCAGGCTTTGTATCTAAATATTTAAATGAACACACTAGAATAGGAATTATTCGAAGTAGGAGGGGACCACATAAATTTGTAACATCTGTAATCCCGCTTATTCGAGAAATTGAAGACAAACGCGTATTTATTAATATACTGTATGTAGGTGCTACTATTCGGAAATCTTTTCATTTTTTAAGAAACTATCAGCAAAAAAAGTTTGATGAGTATTGTGTTAGTTTAAAAAGTGAAGAAGACAGAAATGAATTGAAAGAAGTTATGTTAAACTTTGAGAGCATTTTAACTAGAATAGGTTAAGTTGCCTGTTTATAAATAAATATACATATACAATAAAAAATAGGCTTTATTATAAATCTAACATAATTTTACAATTAAATATATCAACATTTTAATGTTCTACAATTTCCTTATGTTATTGTAAAACACAACTCACTTTATTCTGATCTCTATAATGACTGGTGTCCTAAAAGAAGAATCAGTTACAAGAGTGCCAAAGGTCATATTCCAACAATACATAAAAAACAATACAATTATACAAAAGTATAGTTAGGAACACAATTAGATATAATAATCTTCAGTTAAGAAGAACAAACTCCAGTTTGATGTTGGGTACTATGTAGTTAAGATCATTGATATACATCAGCTTAAACAGGCCTAAGGCTTCAATGGTTTTCTTTCTATCTTGTGCTATGTTTCTAGAGTTTTGTAACCATAACAACCCCAAGTCTTCTTTTGCTGATTCCATTAATTTTCTTTGTGGTAGTCCTCTTTTCTTTTTTTGTGCCAGCTTCAGTATTTATTAATGCTTTGGTGACGCTTCCTTAAATGTATTCTAGCTATGTGTCTGATCCATCTTAGTCTTTTAGAACTATCGTAATGTTTGAAATTTTTTGTTGTTTATATATTTACATTATTTCCTTATTTGTTCTTCTCCAGATATGCCCGCCCATCTTTTATACCTCATATATTCTTCTGAATATATAGATCCAGGTCTTGCTAGCATAAAGCACCATTGGTTGGATAACAGGTATATATTCTTCTTTTTGCTCCTCTGGATATTTTCTTTGATCTCAGCATCTTATTTAAAGTTCCAGCAGTTTTATTAGCTTTAGTCAGTCTTTTTCCAATTTATTGAGTCTGTTAATTTCTATTTGTGTTAACATTACTTCCAAATAGTTGAATTGTCCAACTATCTCAAAGTTATGTTCCTTGTCTGGGACAAATACTTTCCAAAACTGTCCTAAATGTTCATTATTTCCTCCCATCTTCATATACTTTGTTGTCTATTCAGTTACTTCCAGCTTATACTCCCTGGCTGTTCTTTCGAGTCTTTTAAAAATTTCTCTTAAATCTGTTTGCCTTAGGGCAAAGTCGTCAGCATATGCTAAGCATTGATGTCTATTGTGGTAGATTAAGCCTTTAAGTGTGTATATGGCTTTCCCTTAGAATTCTTTCCAGTATTAAAATACAGTAGGCAGGGGGTACCCTTATCTCTGGCCTCTAGTTAAATTAAAGCTGTCAGAGACATAACCTTCTATCATAACTTTATTTTTGTTTTCATTCAAAAGGGATTTAGTTAATTGTATTATTTTATCCGAAAAGTCAAAATATTTTAATGTTTCTATCATGTTCTTCTTCTTCTAATGGCGCTACAAGCCTTTGTGAGTCTTGGCCTGCTTAACAGTGTTCTTCCATTCTGCCTGTCAGATACTTTCCTTCGCCACTGCTTGATGTTCATGGTTTTAAGATCCCTCTCTATGTCATCTATCCATCTTTTAAGGGGCCTTCCTCTTGTTCCGTTTCCTTGGGGCTTCCATCTCTGGATTACTTTTACAGCTCGATTATCTGGCATTCTTTCTAGGTGACTAAGCCAGTTTAGTCTTTGTGACTTTACAAATCTAACAATATCTGCGCTCTACATTAGTTCATCCAGCTTGTGGTCCATTTTAATTCTCCTCGAACCATCGCTGCATTGGGTTGGACCAAATATCTTCCTTAGTATTTTGCACTAAAATATTCTCGGTTGATTTTCATCAGTGGTTGAGAGGGTCCATGTTTGACATCCATATGTGACCACTGGACTAATTACTGTTTTCTAGATTCTATAGACTCATGATTCAGTAACTTACTTTTCGTTAAGTCTTTGTATGCATAAAAGCACTTTACCGCTAAGAATCCATGCTTGTATTTCTTGACTGATGTTATCATTTATTATTGAGCCTAGGTAGGGAAAAGTGGAGGCATATTTGTATGTATGGTTGTCTACCTTCAGATTCTCATGTTGATTCGATTTTGTGCACTCCATATATTTTGTTTTGCTTTCATTTATATGTAAACCAAACATAGCAGCTTCTCATTTTAGTTCTATAACTTTTTCGCTTAATACCTTTTTGTTGCGGCTTATTATAGCAACATCATCCGCATATGTGCATTGATCTTGTATTAATACAGCCGTTTATATCGAGGTTTCTAACACTAGCTTCTAAAGTTAGATTAAAAAGTGTTGTTGATAAGGCATCACCTTGTCTAACTCCATTTTCAATATCAAAGCGCTGCGTCATATCTCTCACCATAGCTTTGGAACCCTCTAGAGTCATTCATATAAATTTAACCAACTTATTCGGTATCTCTAACATAGATAGTTGCTTTTACATCTTTTGTCAATCTACTCCATCAAACGCCTGTTTGAAATAAATATACATGTTATAAATAGGTATGTTATATTCAACACATTTTTCATGTGTATGAACATATGTATTTTGTCTATAGTTGACCTCTTTTGTCTGAAGCCACATGGGTATTCACCAATCATCTCCTTCAAAAACAATTCCAGGCGACTGTATATAATTCCTGATAATTGTTTCTATCAATCTATGTCTGTTTATTATGTCATATGCTTATCGAAAATCAATGAATAATATGTTAAGTGACATATTGAATTCATATCAACTAGCCAGGATCTGTTTAATTTTTTTTATCTTGTTTTTTTGATTTGATCTGTTTACATCAAATGTTTTTAAATATGGGAATTCTAGTTTGAAAGTTTTTAGATGCCTGGTTATATATTCTCATAAATGTCACAGATAATAACTTTCAGATACCTAATACACCGAACAACCCTAATATCAATATTAGTTTATTTTGAATTAGCATAATTTCTGTAGGTGATAAATTTATAATAAATTATAGTCTTAGTCCAGATTTGGCAATATCAGGTAGATATGCCAGCTTTAGAGAAATTTATTATGACAATTTAGCTTATACGTAAATATTCTTGCTAATTTTATTAAACCTTGATTTAGTAAAGTGAAGAATAACACAGAAAGCACTGAATTAAAGCCATATCAAAATAACATTTAAAGCATATTGTAAAGCTTCAAATATAATAAATAGTTAATTACACTCAGCAAAATCAAAACTTGAAAGCAAAAAAGATAATGTTTATCTATACCAGGTGATTGGTCAAACTTAAGTGTGTATTGTAAATGTAAAGGTAATTAAAAATACCTCATATATTATTCGATTTTATTACAAAATTTAGATTAAATAAAAGTCAGACGAATTTTATTTCATCTAAAGAGTCAGAAAAAAATCCACATACAACAATTAAAAATTATTTTCAGGCCAGGCAACATTTAAACCCAAGATTTTCCCGTTCTTGGGTTGGTTATAGTGGCCCTGTTAGCTGGTCTACAATGTCTCTAACCTGACCTAGACCTGACAGAAAACAAAAAAATGAAGAGAATATAGTTAATAAAAACTCCGGTTTTAAGAAAATTTTATTTGTCAATTAACGTAATTAAATATTGAACATCATGTTGGTCCAATTCATCCCAGATTGCCTTAAGCGCCATACTAAGCTCAGCCAAGTGGTTAGCTTAGGTAACAGTGTGCAAATCTATCTTCTCAGTGTGTCCTATAGATGCCTGATTGGATTAAGATCATGACTAAAGCTAGACAATGTAGACTTCTTTTAAATATTCATTAAAGACCTGTTATCGTCTATAGTACTTAAATTGAGACCTGTAAATGATTTAAAAGATACTACTTTGTACTTGTTAATCTAAAATGGTATCTTGCTCTCTTCATCTTCAAGAATTAAGTTATCATGGACATTGCACTGTATACTTACCCAAACCAGAACTTAAACTCATCGATAGTTTACAATTTCGCAATATTGCATTAAGAAATCACCCTCCTTGTCTTCCACATACTCTTGCGAATGTCTAGGGACATTAAAAATAACAAAAGTCTTGAAAAAGTAAGTCTGTAATGCATGCTCTAGGGATAGCAATGGACATAGCTGATCATCTGGGTGATGTACTGTCCACCTGCTTACATCTAAATTTCTTATTTTATACATACGATTTTCCGGTGCAACTAAAATTAGATACCCATTTTTCAGAAATAAGAAAATTAACATAGCTTCTACGGCCTAATATTATCATCATCATCATTCTGGCTTTACAACCCTTCGTGGGTCCTAGTCTCCTCAAGAATTTCTCTTCAGGCGTCTCTATCCATCGCCTTTCTCTGCCAAGCACGTATTCCCATATTTCTCATGTCCTCATCGATGTTATCAAGGAATCTTGTTCTGGGTCTTCCTCTTTCCTGACCAATGGGTCTATCAAGGAGCGTTTTTCTAGCTGGGTCATTTTGTTCCATCCGCATTACATGTCCTATCCAACTCAGACATCTTATCCTAATATGATTTACGATATCAGGTTCCTGGTATATTCTATAAAATTCGAAGTTGTATCGTCTTCTCTACACTCCGTAGATTCGCCTTAGTACTTTTCTTTCGAAAACATCCTAACATGTTTTCATTATTTGGTCTCTGAACCATATGTAAGGACTGGGTGTATTATTGTTTTGTAGAGTTTTATTTTTGTATTTCTCGATATAATTGTTGATTTAAGGAGATTGAGTTCAAAATAGCATCTGTTTGCCATGCAAATTCTTCAGTTTATCTCTGTGGTAGTATTAGTTACGGTGTGCTTCAGTGTTAAGGAGCGCTCCCAGGTATACAAATTCGTTAACTGCTTTGATGACGTCGTTTTCTATAAGGAGTAGTCTTAGGATTTGTGGTTGCGTGCTTATTTTCATATACTTCGTTTTGTTGGTGTTTATTCTTAAACTATTCTATTATTAAAATTCTAAAAATAAAAACGAAAAGCACATTGATGTTTTAGTGACACTCTTGAACCAAATTTATAGTTCAGGCGTATTACCCAAAGAGTGGTTAACATCGATTTTTATTTGTCTCCCTAAAAAGAAATACGCAAGAGAATGCAGCGATTACCGCACCATTAGCTTGATGTCTCATATGCTAAAGTTACTACTTAAAGACAT